GTGGCTTGGCCATTGTCAGTGCCAACTGTGGTCGCATCGGCTCTCCTTTTCCATAAGGCATAGTGGCTGGTTTGGTGCTTTACCAAACTGCAGTGGGCTTTGTGGGTCTCTGTCAGCATTTCTTCCCTGTTGCCTTCTTGGTCTCAGTTGTTCCTAGGAGGGAGCAGAACTTTGTCCTGAGTCATCACTGGCTGCGATGTGGGAAGTCAGAACAGCTTTGAACTTTTTCTTGTTCATTTGTGATCCCTACTTTACCGCGCCCCCCCCCCCCCCCCCCCCCCCGCCAACCTGGAGCTCCGAGGGTGTCTTGAGGGAGAAGATTCATAGGAAAGACTTGATTTCATGGGGAAAATTCCCTGGGATGGGACATAACTCCTCCCAGTCCAGTCTTTCCACCCCCTGGGAGGGGGTCCATTCACTGGGCCATCTCACCGGGACTTGCTTTGAGGTCTACGTAACTGCGAAAAATGCAGGAAATGCAATGATGGGTTTGCATTCATTCTCCAAAAAGTGCTTATTTGTGACTGGCCTACTTAGGAAAATGTAGTGGAAAAAGAAGGAAAGTTTTGATGCAGAAAGAAAAATCAGGTAGTGGAAGGTAGAAATAGAGGACCACAATGAAAGATTAAGTAGATGGGCCGTGTCAGCTCTAAAATGTCCTAGGATGGTGCTCCTCCTGGTTCTGTCCTGGATTTCCCATTTCTGCTGATATTTCTAAGTCATAAGTCAAGGGGACCTATTTGAAGAGCCTTATGACTATGCTGGAATGTGAATGTTGGGGAAACCCTCTGGGTGAAGTAAGGCATGTAGGTGCTGGAGGTGGGCAGGGCATGAGGGGAACAACAGAGAGGGGTGTTGAATAGAGTGGCCATGCCCGTGGAGCCCAAGGTCTCTCCTTTTTAGAAGAAACTTTGGAGTTTAGCCAGTAAAGGACAGCCCCAATGAGTCACTTCTGCACAGCTAGGGTGGGAAATTGCTACTTTTTGTTCTCTTAGGATTCCAAAAGTCTATAGAAGATGTGCAGTCATAGATCTTTCTTATTCCCTTTTACTTTTTTTTTTCTTAAGCTTCACAGTTAACAACTTCCCTATTCTCCCTCAGGAGGATCAAATCTTTTTTTTTTTTCTCATTGGGCCTACAATAATCCTGAGTACTGTCAAGGTAGTTTTCAGATGAGGAAGCTGTGTATTGCCCCAAATCTTACCTCAAAGGTCAGCTTTTCCCCAAATTTAGAACCAATCCCTGATCAACTGCTTCATATTTTTAGAGTAGGCATGGCTTCACTTTTGTGCATGCCTGAACATTTGACATTGATGTTTATCTAAAGGGCTCTCCCTCTGGAGCCCCTGAAGGACTGTTCCTGCTTGCCTGATGCCAGAGTGTTTGGGCTGTGACTATGCAGCATGCTAATCGCTAGACCTCCATAGTTTTATTCAATTTTTACATCCCTATGAAGTAGGCATTATCATTAATCTCATTTTATAGAGGAATAAAATGAAATCAGAAGAGTTACGTAAGGCAACCCCAAGTAATGCTGTTTAGGATTTGACCTCAAGTCAGGATTTGAATTCAAGTCTGTCCTACCCTAAATCCTAAACATCTAACCAGTCTGCTGGGAACTCTCAGTCTGTGCCCCTGTCTCCCCTAAATTCTATCTGAGCTTTTGTGCAGGTGGCTTTCTTTTTCCAGGAAGAAGGATGGTGGTCTATGTTAGATTAACAAAGGGCTGCGGTCACACAAAGCACTGAATTATTAGAATTGGTAAGATCACTTAGGATGCTCTTGGTTGCAAACAAAAGAAAACCCACCTCAAACTAGCTGAGAGTTTTCACTCACAGTTTCATCAGGATTCCTATTCCATTTCTCTGGCAACACTCCAGGCTTCACCCTCCTTAGTGTGTTGGCTTTGTGCTTGGGCTTCCTTCATTGGTAGCAAAATGCGTGCAGTAGCTCCAGATCCGGTGTTGCTCCACACACGTCCAAAATGAGAGCGTTTCTCTCCTCTCCATCACCCAAAGAAGTTTGTGGGCTTCACTCTGATTGGACCCACTGAGGTCACGTGCCCCTGTCCCCATTGGTTCCTGGGGCTGGAGGCGGGGGTGTGTGTGTGGGGGGGGGGAGTGGCATGCACTGATTGGCTGAGGACTGTGTTCCTACCCAGTCCTGAATCAATCCCAACCCGAAGAGAGTGAGCTTATTAGTAAGGTCATTTTTGCCCCAACAGCATGACCGTTTCATAATGTTCAGGGGAGGAGTGAAGTGGCTGAGGAGGAGGCATCCAACAATACCCAATATAGACAGTATTCTTCCCTTGGTATCTCAAAGAAGACCTTAGAACAAACTCCCTACCTTAATGGGATAAGATAAAAGCAAATTCGGTTTCTAGTAGGAAGCTTGCCATTTCTTCATTGTTCTCTTTGATTTGAGGAGTTTAATATCCTGCCTTTGCTCCATCCCCAATCAGAGTCTATTTAGTGAGACAGGATGCTCCTACCAACCAAGAGATATTTCCTTTAGATGCAGTTCTATTTAGAGTTGCTGCTTCTGAGAAACGCTTTTTCATTCCCTGAGTTACACATGCCTTTGGTATATTTTCCACTTTTTTTAAGAGTGTATACTCTCAGACTCTGAGGGTGGGTGGGGAAGAGGAAGAGCATTTGAAAATGAGAATGTGAAGGAAGACAGGAGTCTTTATAAGAAACCAAGCAGAGTGATGACTGCATGTGTTTGAAAATATAATTATCCTCTTTTGTTTGCTTGATAGAGTTTTGATAGATAGAATCTTGACAGCTCTGTTATGAAATGTTAAAATGTAATTTAGGTTAAAAAAATCTTAATTAACTTAAATTATAGTCTGAAGTCATATTCCAGGCTTTGATCCTTTTATCGCGTGTGATACAGCAGGAGCTGCAGGTGCAGCTAATCCAGCTGCTGTCTTTGCATAAAAGAAAGAAATGGTTGATTGGTTCACTGGACACCCGGGGCGGGGGGGAGTTATATGGCTGCCCGGAGGGAAACCAGTGGGATTTGCTTCCGTTCAGAAATTCCTGGATGATGCTCTTAAATTTCGAGCTGAGGGGGCATTGTGGGTCCTTCCACCCATTAGAGAGTAAAGCCCAAGCTCCTTAGGGTGACATTATGGCTCTTCAGGACGTGGCCTTTAACACCTCCTCGGGCTTAGGGAGATGTATGGTGCAATGGGGAGAGTGTGGGCTTCAGAGTTAGATGCTAGACTCTTACCTCTCCTGCTGGCTTGCTGAGTGTTCCAGGATTAACTCTTTAAGGTCTCTGAGTGTCAGTTTCCTCAGTGTGCTATGAAAGCAAAGAGGTCACACTGACCTTCCTTGTGAGTTCAGTTTATCCCATCATCCTTCCATACCTGCTGTATCCTTCCTTTTCCTCTCTCCCTTCCATACACACACACACACACACACATGGAAGGTACATATATGTGTGTGTGTGTGTGTGTGTTTTAGAGAGAGAAGGAGAGGGAGAAAGGGGGGCAGAGGGAGAAGGAGGGAGAGAATCTTAGGCAGGCCTCGCCTAGTACAGAGCTCATGGTGGGGCTCGATCTCACCACCCTGAGTCATGACCTGAGCCGAAATCAAGAGTCAGACGCTTAACTGACTGAGCCAGCCAGGTACCCCCCTCCCTTCCTTATATTCTGTTACTTTTATTTCACATGGCTTTTCTCTCTCACACCCCCTCCCATCAAGGAGACTGAATGTTCATTAGGGGCATGGGATGCATGTCTCCCCTGCCCCCCCCTTCATCTCTGACCCTGGTAGAATGATTTGTAACATGGTACATGGTTAAGTCCTGGATACAACTTTGCTAAAATGAATGTTCATTAACAGTTTTCATTATCCATTTGGCTTTCTTAGCAAGCAGCCATAAAAAAACGAAAAACTTCAGTGAGTCAGAAGGAGAGAAGGTAGGTGAAGGGGAGACATAGCTTTGTAGCATACGTGCTAGATTTGGAAACACTGAGTTCAACTCCTGGCTAACTGATAACCTTGGGCAATTACCATTCTGTGCCTCAGTTTCCTCTGTAAAATGGGGATGATAATAGGACCCACTTCAATGAGTTGTTGTGAGGAAAAAATAAGATAAGGAATATAACACACACTTAGGGACTTAAGGTAGGTACTTAATTAGCATGAACTGTTATTGTTCCCCTAGCAGATTAGTTCTGCTAGGTGAGAACTCCACACTTATGGCCTTCAATGAAGGTCTTATTCTTTCAGGAAATGAAAACTGAGCAAGAGTAGAGAAAGGTTCTGCTCATGTTTGCCCACGGTGGAGATCAAGAGATGTTTCCTTAGGATGTTTCCCTTAGACAGTCTGAGTATGACTGGGGGGCAGGGGTATGGTGGGTGGTGAATCCTGTGCCCCAGCCTGATCACACTGCTGCCTGTTTCACCACATCAGAAGGCTGCCACTGTTGCCTTTAACATTTTCAAGAAGCTACCCATCATGAGGACTAAATCCTACATCCATTTTCTTTCTCGAGTCAATAATAACATTTGTTAAGCACTTATGATGCATCTACTGAGTATTTTTACATAAGCAATTCATTTAATACTCATGGCAATCCCCTAATCCCTGCCTCACAGAGGAGGAAACTAATGCATGGGGCAGTCAAGTCAACTGCCTAAGGTGAGATGGGTAGGGGTGGTAGAGACAGGGTGTGCACCCAGGCTGGTTCACCCTGGACCCCATGCTCTTCACCCCTGGCCCTACTGCCTCTCCCCAGTCCTGATGTCTATACCCTAGGGTCTGGCACGAGTCCACAGATACCCACCTGGCTGCCCTTTCCCACATGGGTGCTCTTCTCTTTGGTTTATTGACTCAATGTCTGACCCTCTATTGAATGGTGATAAAAGGTAATGCATTTTTGAACTTTAATGCCAAACAATAGCCTTAATGTGGCTATCATTTCCAAGGGGGAATCGTGATTTAAAAGAGGCTTAATGAAGTTTAATGAATTCACTTGCCAGGTAGGTGATTCTCCTAAGGCTTGGGGTGAGTTGAAAGAGAATCGAACACAAGCCACACAGATGGATGTGATGCCTTGGCTTGGGGCCTGCCGCAAGAGCCCAGTGTGAAGGCCAACAAAAAGGGCCACCTGCAAAAATGGGTAGGTACACATTTGCTTTCTCCCATCAAATGGGATGTCCTTACTCTCCGTCTTCTCAGATGCTCTTCCCACCCTGTGACCCTGCCCCTGGCTCTGCAACCCCCACCCCCACCACCTGCAAGAAAGCAAGAACTAGTTTTTCAGTCAACATATTGCGCATGCCTATTGTGAACCCTAGGGTGAATCAAGCTTTGGAGGAAGCAAGGGGACATGTGACTTTTATTATTCTTCAGAGCATCCTGGACTCCATCTGCTTGTCTCAGAGGAAACACCAGGGGTGCTCTGGGCTGTCTCTTGTGCCTGGCAGCGCCGGGGGCGGGGGCATTCACTGCCTCAGGGCAAAGCTAAAGAGACTATTTCTCCCATTTGATTCTAGCCCTTCCTGAAGTAGTGATTCTAAATTAGGCTTAGAGGATCATTTATACAAGTTTCTTTCTGTTTGGGACCTGATGGTTTAACTAAATCTGCTTTGGGGAAAGAGGTCTTTTGTTTGTTTGTTTTTTGTTTTTAAACTTTACTTCTTTCTATAAACAGTTGTTTACCATGCACAGTCCCCATGTATAAACAGGATGGGTGTTAATAATGCTTCAGAAGTTATTGTGGAAAACCATTTGGCCTCAGGCATCTGTATATAACATGTTAGGACACACAGTAGAGTTACTCAGCCAAGGTGCCGGCAGGATGTAGGGGAGTTGAGGAACCCTACCAGCCTTTGCCCTGCCTGTTCCAAAGGCTCCTCTGTTTCCTTCCTGTTGACATGTTGGGTGATTAATATGAGAGCTTACTGAGATGTCGGCTCTGAGAAGCAAGGTTCTGTGTAATGCTGCATATGTAGGACTCCAGACTTGAAGCCTTTAAAGTCATCAGATGTACCAGTACTTGGAAGGCCAAACAACGAAAACTATGAGCTGAAGAAAGACTGAAACAAGATGTAACAGGCCTCCTACAAATTATTCATAATTCCATTCTGATTCAGAGCAGGAGTTTAAAAGGCCTGGAAGCCCCACACTGCAGCAGCTTAGGAGAGAGCGCTGGTCTGTTGATTTGCTTCCTCTGATGAGGACAAGCCAAAGGCAGAGGCCTTTTGGGAGGGAGATCACTGCAGATAAAAATGATCCTTCAAGGCCAAACGGTCTTCTGGCAGAATGTCTCAGAGATTTGGTAACCACAGTTGGACTATAACCAAGGAAAAGGCTGAGGAAATTCTCAGCCACAGGCCACCTGGACAGACTTTTCAGGGGTGGTGGCCTCTTGTCCACCTTTGCCCACACACTGTAGATTGTCTCTGGAAAACACCCCATAGCCCAATTTTTCTCCGGGTGATGAACTGTCTACTTCCAAATTACCTAGGACACTTATTAAAAGGCACATTTCAGGTCTCACCCCAGGCCCCATGATTCAGAGACTGTGTCAGTACAGCTGGGGAATCTGCTCTTCTAGAAACTATTCCAGATATCTCCTCATACTTAAAAGTTTGAAAACCACTGCTGAAGCCTAATAGGCAAATACTTTCCGGGGCTCTGGCCTAATTTAACCTTTTCTTTAATTTAGGATGAGGAGGATCTGTTATGATCCGGATTGGACATAACTGGGCAAGAACTTGATGCATCTCAGTAGACTCATCCGGTGGTTAGAACAAGGAGTTAGCAAGGGTTTACTAAGGATTCTGTCATAGAAGGGGTGTTCAGTGTTTGTTGATTTGTTGTGATGTTACCAGTGAGACCTACTCAGGTCATATGGCAGCTTCTTGCCCTCAAAAAACTTTTACTCTGGTTGAGATGTTAAGTCCAGCACTGATGAAACATTTGTGAATCCTGTGAAGTAATATATAAGTTAGTACTAGATTGCCTGGTGTAAACAGTTAAATGTTAGATAAAAACAGGCTGACATAAGCCGGGGAAGCCTCACAGAGGAGATGGGATGTAAACTGGATTGTGAAGAGCTGGTAGATTTGGGGCCTGTAAAGGAAGACAGGAAGTTCCCGGCAAGGGGAACATGATGCCTGGAGGCCCAGAGTGGAAAGGGGGCTTGGGGGCCAATGGCCCAGCAGGAAGATCAGGGTGGCTTCATGGAAAGGATGTGTTGAGAAGTATGTGGGCTGGTTACAGAGGTCCTGAGAAGCCAAGTAAAGGAATGTAGATGAGAAAATGGAGCTACTGAAGCTATTGAAGGCTGTTGAGGGGCAAAGGTAACACTATTTCCTGGGCCTAGCAGGGCCAGGAGAGTTGTTACTATTTCTATAGTTCCCAGAGCTGGGTGTCACTTGGTGAGAAGTCAGCTACATCTGGAGAGACTCTGTTTAGAGTCTGCATTTCAGATGTATGCCAGGGCAGATGAGGCAACCCAGGGCAGTTCTGGGTCTGGCGGGGAGAGGGGTACCATGTCAGTCCAAGATGGCTGGAGCCAGAGATGGAGTTGAGTTGAGGTCACGAAGTGTGGAATCTACAGTAGACTGGGCCAGGGCTTCGTAGGCAAGGCAGAAGGCCAAAGCAGACATTGAAGCTAGCAAATAAGACTTGGCGCAGCAGAATCTGTGGAATTAGTCTGGTTTATCCACGGTGAATTGAGGCTCATGGGATATGTTCTTTGGAAATCCTAACAAAAAGTCAGTGTTGAGCCTTAAAGGGCCATCCCACATTGCATGGGCATGGGCTGGGGCCAACTCCACCCCACTGTGGGTTATAGTTAGGATTGGCTTTCCTCTGTGCGGCATGCTGACAGGACCAACCTGGAGTCTGCCCAGGGCTGCAGTGTGAAAAGGCATTAGACCGTAGGTGTGTCTGGCTGATTTCTAGGAAGCCCCAATGCCCCATTTTCTGGTGATGCTCATCAATCAGCAGACTTGTCCTTTGAGGAAATCCTCGCCACAGAAGCAGAGAATGTTCAAATACTAAGGGAGATTTTAGATTGTAGCTCAGGGATACCAAAGAGATTTTGTCTCCTGTGCCAACTCCAGTTATGGGATGGTGGCTGCCTGGAGTGCTGGGTCTCATCTGGGTTCTGCAGGAAAGAAGGGACTAATCGATCAGGGACGTTTGCCATGAGCGTGGGAGGAGTGAGTACACGATGGCGTCGGTGCCATCTATTTTCCATGCCTGATTTGGTTCTGACTTCTCCCCCTCTCCTCTGTGGGGGTGCTGAAGCCCACAGATGTGAAGCGTGTGCCCCACAGCACTTCTAGGACTGGGCCTGAGGTCCTCCGACTCCTAGTCTGGTGTGTTTCCCTCTGGAACACACAGCCTTCCTACCCTCCTAGTCACCATGGGGCTGTCACGCTGACTTTATTTTCCCAGTCCCACCCTTGGCTTTTGTTAGACAGTGTTAGGAACTTGGCCACAGAACTCATTTGCACAATGGCTAAACTTGTTTCACATGTGATCTGAACTCTTGGGGAAGGATTCTAGGAAGAGGAATTGCAGATTGGTTCAGAATTCCCAAGTGTTGGGAAATGCAAGTGGCAAGGGGGCTGGCAAGGAGCCGACTGAGAGAGAAGTAGGATGAATGAGGAAGGAGGAGTGGATTGCCATTACTTTCTTGGGGTTGAAGTTTCAACACTGAAGTTGGAGGGTGGGAGGTGGGCACAGGGTGGGGAGGAGGGAACCCGATGCTTCTTGGACAACCACTGACAGGTAATGCCATCCTGGAAAGAACTTGGGCAGTGGCCCTGCGGATAGAACGTAGGCACACAGTAAACGTTAGCCAAAAAGTCCACTGGGCGTCCAGTGTTTCGTCCTCACAGCCCCTCTGGCTGTGGCTATGATTAGCCCACATTTTCCAGAAATAGGAAGTAAGTTGGGTCTTGGAATGGTGAACTCACGCATGCACATCAGCAAGAGGCTGACTGTGTGACAGATACCGAATCTCATCTCTTTCCCAGGCAGGGAGAATGCCTCTTTAGGGGATCTAGTATTTAGGAGACAGAAAAGGGTTATCTCTTTCTGCTTATTCCCCTGCTTTCGGATGAAAAACCATCTGCTTCTAGTGTGTTGCACATAAATCCAACCTTATTCCTAATTCCTAGAGTAGAGGCCAGCTCTGTGTGTTGTTTGCTCTTGAACTGTGTGCATGTTTTATTGAGGAGTTAACTTCAGAGGAAAAGGGTGTGTTTGGAACTTTATAACTGCATCTGTCACTTCTCTTAGTCAACCTCTTCTCCTCTCCCCTGCCCTGCTTTTTGCTAAAAGGATCAGTGAGTGATAAACTGCTTAAATAAATGTTCAGCCTGCCGAGTCCAGGACTGCCCTCAATTGCTTGCGGTGTTTGGAGACATAAAATGTTGTTATTTGACGCAGTTCAAAGAGGCTTTCAGCACATGCCCAGGCAGGGCCTCCGGGTGGGCAGAGCTCAGCTCGAATGCTGGCTCCACCAGGCTAATAACAGGGTAACGTGGCTCCTGTCTCATGACCAGCTTCAGAAATTAGACCTGCGCTTCTGGGGCCTGGCTGGAAACCACCAGCTCCTTCCCCTGCCAAGCAGGAGCTCTGCCCTCAGGGACTACCTGCAGAGCAGTGTGGCCACTTTTGGGCATTGAAAGCAAACGGACTGGTTTAAGTCACCCATTGCTGTGAGCGTTGGGTGGCTGGTGGTGCGCCAGAACCTACAGGAGGCCAGTCGAGTTACCCTCTTCTCTCTCTAGTCTCACAACTACCCTACAGGAGCCCTCTGGTCGTCCCCCCACCCTTATCTGTGGTTTTGCTTTCCTCGATTTCAGTTACCCGCGGTCAACCGCAGTATGGAACTAGTTCATGTTGTCCGAAGGCCTGCAGTAGCCCCCCGTGCGACGTCCCAAGGCCGGCGTCACTCACCTCACTGCGTCTCACCACACAGACATTTCATCACCTCACCTCATCCCAGAAAGAAGGCTGAGTCCAGTGCCGCAAGATAATTTGAGAGAGAGAGGCCACATTCACATACCTTTTATTATAGTATATTCTTGTAATTGTTCTACTTTATTATTGTTTTTTTTCTTTTTTAAAGATTTTATTTATTTATTTGACAGA